TACAGCAAGATTTAGGTGAAAATTCAGATGATGGAGATCAAGTTTGTAACCAGTTTCAGCAAGAAGAAGAAGAAGAACTTGTTACTGATGCGATGAGCTCCAGCAGTCATTAAAATCGGAAGTCATTATTTCTGTACCTGGTCCTTCAAATATTAAAAAAAAACTGGTACTGATTCGAAATAGCCCCAGCCATCATCAAAATCAAAACAGTCAGTAATTTCACCTTCAGACATTATTCCCTTCCCAAAAATTAAGATAAAAAGCAAACTAACCAGGAAAAGTTTGAAGTCAACCCTACTAACATCGATACCTAATAAGGAACGACTTTTAGAAGAACATGAAGAAAAGAAGAAAGTACAAAAAGAGAAGAAGAGGAAAGCATTACTGAAGAACTAAAAGATCAAATCCCAAACTGCTAAAGTTCGTGCTACCCAAAAGAAAGTTTTCGACGAATCATCATCTGATAAATCAGTAGTACTCTTCTATAAAGAAAGTATTGATTCTTGTGACTTTCACTTTTTCAATAACGATGAAGAGCAAGACATTGATGTTGTACCAAATAATTTACCTGATGACTTTCTCGTAGTGAAGGTTTTTGGAAAAAATCATACAGATTATTTGTCGTCAAAGTCTGCCAAGTAAATGATGATGGTTATAAAGGCGTATTTTTTAAGCGACTGCCCACGACATTTCGTTTTCGTGAGATAACAGAAGATGCCTTTTTTTGAAAAACGATATTGTTTCAAAGCCAATAAAAACCATCTCTTTCAGATTTACAAATTCAGTAGAATTGGATAAGATTGGTTTCTTTTAAACGCCTACCATCTCTTTTATTTGAGGTTTTATACATTTTAGTTTTTGGGGCGAAAATACGCACTTGTGTACTACTGTCCCATTTGTAGGGGCAAGAGTACGCAAATGAAAATTTTTAAAATTGTTTTTTTTTATTTATTAGTGAATTTATAGGACTACTGTCGATACTTAAAATGGAAAAACAATATGTAAGCTCTCCCGTAATAACACTGGAAAACTTTTAAACTATTATAATTTCTGAAGACGACAGAAGATAACGAAACTGCGTGTTTTTGTACTCAACTACCCTATTCACAATTCATCATCCTATCCTAAATAACATAAATTGGCAGCCTACAATATCATGTCACATAGATTAATAGAAATTTCGATGTCAAAAAACAACTTTGAGATATAATTACTAAAAATAATTAAGCTAATAGCAGTAGACAATGGGTAAAACTACCAAACAATAAATAAAATTCAAATCATAAACTACATAAGAACGCCCTAAAATTTGTATTTCCACCACCAGAGAAAAAAACCCAGTACATTCTGCTAAATTACATACACAGGCAATATATCAACAAAAATAGTCAAACACAAAAAGAAAGGAATAACACCAGCTTTTAGAACAAACAAAAACTTGAGCAAATATATTAAAAACAACAAGAGCCAAAATAAAAAGCACTTACACAGTGCCGTATACAAACTTAAATGTGGTGACTATCCGAGAACTTCTATTGGTCAAACTGGTAGACCTTTTAAAAAACGTATAACAGAACATAAAAGGACTAAAAAAAAAAATAATGGAAAAACAAGTTACCGAAACACTACAATGAATAAAGATCCAAATTATTTGAGTCAGATAACATCGCTGAAGAAGTATGGTAAAGTTAGGTTTGATTAATTGAACAACAAAAGTGAGACAAATTCAAAATGGAAGGAAAAAATTAGTCTGCAGGAGAGTTGTAAGTTTCTAAAAGCATGGGAAAGGAACACCGATAAAAATAAATAAAAGTATAAAACGAAAGATATAAATATTATGTTGACAATGTTAACCCATTAGGTCAGTTAAAAGGCCAGTTCATGTCAGAAGGTGCTAGTGTTAATATTGTTGTAAATGTGCGATTTTATTGGAACTTTGTTTTGAATAAGTGAATGGATAAATAATAACGAAAAAAATAAAGCTTTAAATAATGGACTTCTTTGATAAAGAGTAAGTATATAAATCTTATTTTGCATAATAAAGTTAATATTAGAAAACAAATATTATAAGAAAATATAAATACATATGTTTTGAGTAAAAGAGCTTTGATATTTTTTCAAAAAAAAAGTTGTTCGGTTAGGAAATTGACTGTTACATATTCGTAACGCTAGGATGTATTGTAAGCAAATTTTTCAGTTATTTTCTACCAATATATCATATGTTTTGTTTTCATTGTATGGTATTTTAAAAAGTAAATATACTTTAAAATTTTAAAATTTAAAATTTAAAATGCAGTATGTACCTACTAAATTGTTTTTTTTTTCAAAGGCTTTGCTGCAGTTCTATAAAAAGGTCTGAAAGAAGAGGCCTGTTCAAGAAGCTATTGATATAGCCTTTATATAGGAGAATACGATGAGATACATAACTTTATAGAGGCAATTTATACCACCACCATTTTTAGAACCACCGGATCCGGCTACTCTGGCGGATGAGGATTTCGACAATTTGAGCAAACGCCAGCTACTTTCCGATGCAGAAGTTAGAACTGCTGATAGAATTATACTAGGAGGAGAAATTCCTATTCAACACTCAGAATCGACAGAAGGTAATAATTCTTTGGCAAATGATATCAATATTACACCTGCTCATATAAGTTTATAAATCGCGGGATTGGGTTTCGGGAGATTTCACATATAATGAGAAACAAATTCCTAAGTCAAATTATTTACTGTTTGAAACCAAATCAGTTGTTGATATATTCGAAATGTTCATAGATGAAGAAAACAGTTTATTCCTGGTACAGGAAACAAACCAATATGCTACTTTCAAGAACCTACCCGACCCAGGAGTCTCGCCAGAAGAAATGAAATGTTTCATTGCTTTATTAATTTTTTAGTGGTTATACTAATCTTCCCAGCCAGCGAATGTATTGGGAGCAAAGTATTTACACTACAAACAAACTTGTAGATACTGCTATAAGACGCAACAGATTTGAACAAATTTTGAGGCTTATTCGCTTGAATTCTAACGCAAATATTGATAATGGTGATAAGTTCTGAGAAATACGGTCATTTATAAATAAAGTGAAGGATAGATTCAGAAAGTATTTTGTTCCTAAAAAAGATCTGGCTTTTGACGAAAGTATGGTCAAATACTACGTTAAACATATCTGCAAGCAATTTTTAAGAGTCAAACTCATACGATTTGGTTATAAATTCTGGTGCATAAATACAGTGATGGGCTATTTGATTTATTTCGAGATATATCAAGGAAAATCTGTAACTCTTGATATTGACATAGAAAGAAACTTTTGAAAGGCAACAGCACCACTGGTGAAAAGGATAGAAGAACTACCTCATAATCTGAAATCGTTTTCATTCTTATTTTACTTTGACAATTTATTTTCTACCTTCAGTTTATTATCATATTTACGTTTAAAAGGATACGGAGGCACGAAGACTATAAGTAAAACCGTTTACATAGGAGCATAGGTCCCTTAATAACCAAAAAATATATTCAGAAAATGGAAAGGGGATACTATTAAAGTACTATTAGTAAGACGGATGCTGTACTAGTAGCAAGTGGGTCGATAATTTCGTAGTTTGCATTGCTTTAAATATATATGGCATCACTCCAATAACAAATGTTGGACATTATTCACAAAAGGAAAAAAACACATACAAGTTAGCAGACCAGCAGTACTTACAGAGTATAACAAAAAATGGGTGGTACTGATCGAATGGATCAGAATGTTGCACAGTATACGATTTAAATTAGAACCAGAAGTACTGGGCATTGTTTACATGGATTCTATATGTTTCAGTCAATAACGCTTGGTGTTTGTATCGAAAATCAAACAACTCTCGGATGTCCCAAATAGACTTTCGAAGGGCTATCGTGCTAGTTTATTTTAAGAAATATTCGTCATCTCCCAAAGGCACTGGCAGGACTCTATCGTCATCTTCTAATGCGCAAAGAGTAGCCGATGAAATTAGATATGATAGGATGGAACACCTAGTGGATAAAATTACAAACGACAAAAGAAGACGTTGTCTGGAGATTTTGCAAAAGTTCAACATGCACGATGTGTAAAATATGTAACTTAATTCTCTGTACTGATTGTTTCGTTATTTATGACACAAACCAAAATGTTAATTTTTTTTTTCCTTTTTCATTATTTTCAGTTTTTAAATAAATAGAACTGTTTGCAGATATATTTCGTATTTGTTGCACCCATTATCTCCTAGCATTACATGTATGTGAGATCACATACTGAGTGATTTATAAATTTGAATGCGTAAACTCATTTATTTTTATGTTTTTTAATAAAACTGATCCCAAAAATATTAGTATCACATTAAAAATTGCTAAAAAATTATCTGGGCCCTAATGGGTTAAATAAACTAAAAAAAGGGTCTTTCAAATGTGGACTTTTCGTCGCATAATAGGAGTTTCTTGGACAGATCAGATAATTCACGAAGAAATACTTAGTCGAATACAAAAGAAGAAATAATCGACAATAGAAAAATTGTCGAGGTAAACTGGCGAATCACCAGATGATATGAAGATGAAAATGTACGCATAAACAATAAGAAATTGAATAATGCCAGTTAGGAGAATGATCCGGTAATAGTCTCAGATTGTTATGGAAGTATCCAAACCCCAAGCCACAAGTATACATGAGTTTGAGTACATGAGTTTAGCTGGTAAATCTACGATATATATATATATATATATATATATATATATATATATATATATATATATATAAATATATATATATATATATATATATATATATATATTAAATCGGATACAGAAAAATTGTAAAGGAAAGATACAAGTCAAATTATTTTAACAAGTTTATTAACAAAAAATAACAACATTCAACAATAACAGGTCAACAAATTACAGTCTGCTTAAGATGACTTAGATAATGGATTGAGGTGAAAATTAGATGAGAGATGAGATGGATTCTACCCTAAAAAATCGAAAAGTTTTAATGCCATCCATGTTGTTCTTCACCGCCACCATGTTTGGATGTGTGTAAAACGTGTTTGTATACTGGCACATGGACTGGGTAGGGTTGGTTTACGTAGACTGGGTGATGCTTTTCGATTTCAATTTTGTATGGTTTGTCGACGTAGACAGGGACCAACTTTTCTACGGTGATTGGTACTTTCTTTTCGATTTCTTGAGGTACTAGCTTATAGATTGGTACGGCAATGGGCTGTGGTACTGGCACATGTACAGCGTAAGGTTGAGGTACTGGAACTTTTACGACCTAAAAGTTAAAAAAACGTTTAAATTTTAGAAAGATCAAGATCGATTATGTAGTTAATTAGTCATTTATAGTTCATAGTTTTAAAATATATGCAAATGTAAACAGTTTAAATTTACGTTTAAACTACTACATACAGCAAATTATTTAAAATGTAGTGCGCGAAATGACGTATTTTAGGCTCATGTTACCAGAATGCCTAGTCGAAAGCTTTATATTAACTTCATGGTTTATCTTTGAGGTATTAGTTACTACTAAGTGTTATGTTAATGTTATTAAGGCAGACCTGCACTTCATACTGTTATATAGCCACAATTTACTACGCCAATGTAGCTCTTTTAAAATCTGTATGGCGAACTTTCATCACAATTGGCGTTTTTTTTGGTATTTTTGTTACACTGAAGATGGTTAAATCTGATGTTATAACTATAGGGACATTAAATATATAATTGATTTCTATGGAAAAAAGCAAACAATGTTGCCTCGGTTATCCAGAAACTATCCAATTTGATCCCATTACATGCCATACTACCAAAGATGAGAAAAAAGTACTTAAAATGGTCAGAAAAATCGAAAAACCACTCAGTGAGCTAGGAATATCTAAGAAGGGAAATGTTTAAATATCCAACAAGGTCTCGCATCAAAAAAGAGCGACCTGGATGTTACAAATATAGATATATAAAGTTACCTGAGGTACTGGTACTCCTACTGGATGTGGAACTGGCACTCCTACTTTCTTAACTACAGGTACCGCAACCGCTTGGGTATGCTCAATAGTGTTAGTTGGTATGTGTTGGTGATGTTCTTGAACATGTGGTTGCCAGCCGCCGTGACCACCCCCATAACCGCTTAAATCGTGTCCTCCGAGTTCATGACCGCCTCCGAGATCATGGCCGCCTCCTAAATCATGGCCCCCTAGGTCTTGATGTCCAGATTCGTAACCAGCGTTGGCCAAACCTAGGGCTAGTGCCAAGAGGATGCTTGAACCCTATAGAAAGAAATGAAGTATAAACAATATATTTTTTAAATGTTATACATAATAATAAGATTTGAATCAGTTAAAAATTATATTATATTTAAAAGTAAAATAATAAATATAATTGTCACTTAATGTGTGTGAAGATACTACAACACTTTGGAGGCTAACACTACATTTATTGTTCAGTATAATGATGCAGATACCACTGTAAACAGACAGAGACCGAAAAAATAAAATTTAAACAACATCTTCAAAAAGCTTCAAAATCAACAAAGGATTAAAGCAAGGATGCTGCTTATTACTGACGCTCTTTAAAATCTATTTAGGGAAAGCTTTAGAAATTCCGTTTTGAACAATATACGAAATATATTTGGTATGTATATTACGAATGATGGAAGGATGGGCGTTAATATTGAACACAAAAATAAGAATAAAGAAGACAGCTGAGTAGCAAATTTTTTTTAATGCATCCATAACAAAATAAACAACACACAGAAAATATCATCTCGGCCACGTGATGCGCAACGAAGAAAAATATCGAATTCTTCAACTCGTTATGCAGGGTAAAGTATTTGGCAGAAGAGGACCGGGACGCCGTCGTATCTCGTGGTTGAAAAATCTCCGACAATGGTTTGGTATGACCTCAGCGGAGCTGTTTCGCAGAGCAGTCAACAAAACCATGATAGCCTTGATGATCGCCAACATCCGGACCGGATAAGGCACTGAAGAAGAAGAAGAAAATATCATCACAGCATCATAAAAATGTTTGGACAGGTCCTGCTAGTAAATCACGATGAGATATTAAAAACCAAAGATATTAAAATAAACTAACTAAGACTGTATGTTGATGTGCAAAGAATAAATGCTCGTTTACCTAAACAGATAACACATTAAGCACTACAAGGTAGATGAAAGAAAGGAAAACCTAGACTAAGAAGACTTTGAGAGAAAGCATTGGCAGAAAGATTAGAAAAAGAGAAATAGACGGTAGTTTGTGGAAAAACAGAAAGAAATCATCATTATCATTACTAATAAACAGCATGGTTCTCTGAAATGACATTCTTGCGAGACTGCTACTGTTGCAGTCTGCATTTAATGTTGGTTGAATTGCTACTGTACAATCTGTTTTATAAAAACTTTATGTATGGTCTGTTTTTTGATTTATCTCGGGCTTTCAACTATTTAAAACCATAATTTCTATGCACAAAATCTTTAGGGGGTTGTATTAAAGATAAAGTATGTATGGGCATCAGAGATAAAAACATCTATATAAAGATCCATATTTTGCGTCAAGAACTGGGACAATATGCAAATTTGCGCGTTGAAATTTATGAACTAGTTGAAAAAGCTAAATATTTGGTTCGAGATTTAGAAACCTAGAAAAATTAGTGCTCAAAATTATACAAAGACACTTCACAAGATGCATGTCTCACACAAAAACATGCAATGGGAGAGGTAGAACTTATCATTCTACGAGCAAAAGAAGAAAATCCGATTAACCAACTAAGAAATTTAAAAAAATCCAGGGATCAATGGCACACCAGCGAATAATATAAAAGCAGTGAAATTGGCGTAGATGTAATACTGGATATGTGCAACTTGATATGTATAATCCTGCCACATATAATCAGTGAACGAGTAAAGAACTTTTTTCCTTCATAGATTGACGAAGAACAATGCGAATTCGTACCAGGAAAAGCAGTGCGTGGGTAGAGATTGAGAACCAGATCATTATCATAATCAACAACTATCAAGCCTTAAGTGTGTCCATTCATTTCTGTTCGTTGTTTTTTGTAATCATTCGTGGCCATCCATTCGCTTGATGCCATCAGTACATCTGCCTCTACTTCTCTTGTTTGCTCTTAATCTTTATTCAATAATTCGCTTCATCCAATGGTTGTCTTCCATTCTTTCGATGTATCCTGCCCAGTACCATTCTAACATGGCAATTATTCAACCAAATTATTCCTGCACTTCAACAATATGTCCAATCACTACAAAATGTTTGGTGTCAACGAGATGGTACACTTCCCCAATATGATCGTCGGGTTAGAAATCGTTTGAATGCGACTTTTCCAAATTGAAGGATTGGAAGAAACGGAAACATAGACTGGCCTTCAAGTTCTCCAGACTTTATTCCGTTAGATTTTTTTGGGTTATCTAAAATGACGTGTATACTCTAGGCGATTAAAAAGTTTGCAGGATTTAAATCAAAGAATTTTTGATGAATGTGAACTAATACATGGAGAAGTATTGGAAGGAGTGACTCACCAATTATAGGCTTTCGCATTTTCTAGAACTGAACTGAGAGTATTTTGAACATTTGGTTTTGAACATTTGAAGTAGTTTTTTTAAATTAATATTCTAAGTGGTATTAGTAAATTGCCTGCCCGCGATTTTTTTTGCAAACTGATTTATTTCTTGTTTTAACAATTTTTTTAATTTAAGTTAATATGTTGATATGTTGTGTTGCATTTTTATAAATCTACAAAAGTATATAGGATGTCCCATTTAAATTAAGTAAGTTAGTGGTAATTCTGTTTAAACCGGAAGTGAAGTAGTAAAAAAATTGGCAACAGATGCATTTTATGTCATTGTACTTGCACTCCAAGTTTGATTATTGTTGGTTCCATACCTTATCCCAATCCTGTATATTTTATATTATTTTTGTCTCTTGTCTTCATGCTTATATGGTTTGAATATTATTAATATTTAATTTAATTGATTTTTTTGTCTCTCTGTTGGTGAAAGATAAACATGACATATTATCAAGGAAGGAAATGTGACAATTGTGACCTAAGGTTGACCTAATATGACAACGCAATAACATGATATCTGAGAAAATGCAAGAAACTCCATATTGAATATCTGTACAAAATGCTAAATAAATACCATTAAGGCTAAAGAAAGTTGTTTAAAATGACACCGTTTTTTGCATTATTGCCTTTAGTAATCTTAGTTAATTCGCCAAATGACACTGATAAAGTAGAAAAACTAGGACTGAAAAAAAATTTTAATTCAATGGATAAACAAATAACAAACAACTGTTTACTTGACTGTTTATACAAAAAATATTTGCATAAATATTTACTAATTTATTGTTTCTGCCCATAAATTAATATTTAGAGATCCGGAGAAACGCAGCGGCATCATCTAAATAGTTAACAAAAAACCAAAACGTGCCATTTGCAGCAGTTGCTTCGCTAATACAATTCCGGTGAAATCAGATTTTGCTAATTCGCAAGAAAGTTTCCGCATCTTAAATTATTACCGTTTTTACGCAAAGCTATTAATGTTTTTATTAAATTCTAATTATCATTATTACACGGTAGTCTTAAAGTTTTAATTTTTGCGAGAAATGGGTTTAATTACTACAAAGATGACTGATTAAAAAAAAATTAACGAATATTTACGACCCCATCGATTTCTATCCTAAAGCTACAATTAGAAATGATATTGATTTATGTATGAGTTTAAAAACTTCGTACGTATTTGCATAAAATAATTGCAAAATATTCAAATCCCAAAGTTCATACTCTTTTGTAAGTTTTCGTAGCATGCAATCAATACAGTTGGCAATAAAATTATCTGCAAAAATAGCATTGTCAAACAGCGATCTTTATAATGTTTCTGCCATGACAAACCAACCAACCAACCAATCCATTCTTGCACACTTTTTTCGCTAGTCTTCCAATTTCTCTTGAATGTATAATTTAAATAGGTAAGGCGATAAGCAACACCCCTGCTTAAGACTCTTTGTTATCTTTTTGGTCTACCTTTTGTTCAACTTTGCGCCTCTTTTAAATAGCTTCTTTAATAGCACAGTGTCATAAGCTATTTCTATATCTATAAATACGAGATGACTATGTAGATTTCCAGCGTTACGTTTTTCTATTACCTGTTGAAGAGTACATATATTCTCTCTCCTAATACTGACAAAGAATGTATTGCTTAGAATCTTTTTAAGTAATTTTAAACTGTTTGTCCTTGCTTTAGTGTAGTGTTTTGTAAAATTTTATGTTAACATTCATGTTTATCACATTTTACGCTTGCTGGATAGCTCATATTTGACGAAATGCCCCTGAAGATGCTATTTTAAGCGAAAGTTCTTGGGCAAGATTTAATTAAACCTGTGCTCGATAATTGCCTTATTTTTCAAAGTAAATATATTATTCGTTCAAGATCTTTTTTACCCGGAAACCATTTTATTCCTCTATTTCCTTATACTCAAATTCAATTTTATTATTTGCTCTATATTTTATCAGAACAATGGAGATATTTTCGGTACCCGGATGTTTGCCGTTTTTTTTTTTATTTTCTTCTAATTTACTTCTATTCTCTATTAGTAGTGCCTTGTAGTATTTTTTCCATTATTTACTACTTATTAATTCAATTAATTTCATTTTTTTTTGTTTTCTCCAACGCTAGGAATAAGTCAAAAAGACCGAGTTCCAAACCAAATGATCCAAAAAACGTGAGTGCGAAACGCTGTTGAGGCTATTTTGCATCCAAAATGGACTTAGGTCTAAAATGTTCGTAGAATGACAAATGAGCGGTGGACAAGAAGATAGTGGAGTGGTAGTCGGAGAATTACTGGACTATAGATAAGAAGAACACAAGATAGAGAGAAGTGGCAAAAACTTAGGGACGTCTACCTTCAGTAGTGGACCATTTAGGCTTCTAGATAGATTAGATAGTTATTAGTGTACTGTAACATGGTATATCGCAACTCAAAAAGAAAGGAATAACTTATTTATAGAGGACAAATTTGAAGAATTAGAGATGCGATGAATAACTAGACAAAATTGGAGTTATTTGAAACACATGAAACTGAATTTGTGAAAACAAACATGCAGTTTCGTTAATTTAAACAGTATCAGTAATAAATGTTTCATTAAGACATAGAAAGATAGACGTATTTAACACTACTGAATCAATATTAAAATGGTATGGCGCCTGCCATTTTATGAACGATAAAATATGCCCCACAAGATTAGGTGAAAACTTTTTTAAAGAATTATACCTTCTGGAAAAAAACTTTTTACCCTAGGTTTTTGGAAAACGAAAATTCTCGTGAACCTCAGAAAAATTATTCCTGGTAGTGCATATAATCTGGCACTGATATATGTCTTTTTCATCTATTTGCTAAATAACCAATTTTTTGACAATCAAACTAGAACGGGAGCTTAAATGCATCATTAATACTAAAGATACTGTCCTGATATTTATTCTAATACGGTAACTATTTCTAAGCGTTTTTATAAAAGCCAGAAGTAAATAGTTTTATTGTCAAACAATCAACAGTGACTACATTAGTTTATTGGAGCGTTTAAAGACCTATTTCGCAAACAAAACGCTTCATTTGTTGAAGATAACGTTGTTGTTTTGCCAAAACAATGTAATGAGTTACAAGTCAATATAAATTATGGCAAAACTGTACCAATTGAGTTTTGAATTGCTTCCTCGTCCACCGTATAGTCTATATCTAGCCCTCAGCAATTATTCTCTTTTTTCCATTTAAAAAACAAATGTTCCTTGGTTAGTGGCTAGAAGTAATGAAGACTGTTTTGAAGGCAAATATGAATCGTTTTACAAGGGCGACATCAAAAACTTGGAAACAACTTAGAAAACTGAATGATACACATTAATGGAGTTTAAAAATAATGTCGATTGTGGTCATTTTTTCGTTTAATTGTAATATTGACGACACACTTAAAAAAAGTTTGTTCTTTGTTTTTCAATAGTAAATTGTCAAAATCTGGTACACAGCTATCGGATTATATAGAGTTAAGACTTGTTGATACATAGAGTTTGACACTGAGATATAAGTGGCGTTACCGACATATTCTGAAAATGTCATGGATGGATCGCAAAATAAACACATAAGTTACCGAACAACTAGGGAAACAGTTTAAAGCTTTAAACTCGATAAGAATTAGCAAATTTGAATATTTTGGACACATTACGACAAAGAAAAACTCAAAAAAACTATTAAGAAATATAATACAGGGCAAATCAAAGGAAAAAGACCCGTAGGACGACGTACAATTTTGTGACTACGCAATCTCCTTAAATGGTTTGGCTTTAGTTTAATAAGACTTTTTACACACTTCAGTAATTTTGGAGCGGAACTTAAAAAAGAAAAAAAATTACTGCCAAAGATATGCTTAAATACCCCAATAATCAAAAAATAAGGAAATATGACAATACATTATTCTTCGTGTTAGTTATTTTTCTATAACCATAAACATTCTAAATATTATGTGTTACAAATTATAACATTTTACATATGTGTTACAACTACAAAAGCTAAGTACAAAGCAAGGTAAGCAAGGTACAAAACTTAGTGTATGGGGATAACTGGTGCCATGCGTACTACTCCAACAACAGCTATGGAGGCTCTACTAGGTCTACTTCCCTTGTATTTGACAATACAAGAAAAAGCAAGATTGTGAAGTTGGAGAAGAGAACAATCACAGAAACTTTGCAATAAAATGGTAGGGCATATCAGTAGTATTACAATGACTGTGACGAAGGACATTTTTAATGAGAAACCAGATCACATTACAAAAAAATACAAGTATAAGAATTCATCTCGGGTGTCATTCCAGACAGGAATGTACGGAGAAAGTAGAAGTACCACAGCCAACAGAGTAAGATCTGGTAGGTATAGACATGGATCCAAAACTACAGAGGTACAAGATGTAGGAACAGGAAGATATTCCATTAATCCAAGGATTAGCGAAAGCTTTGCCTTGAGAAGTAACTGCATAGTTTTAAAGCGGTGGTTTATGCGTTACTGTAAAGAGCAAAAAAAAAATAATAAGAGATCTTTTGAAACAGAGCAGGTTCATACATTATATGTCTGTCAAGTGGAACTTTAGGCTTTGAGCTATGGTTATACAAAAGGATCCTGAAGATACCATGGATAGACAGACAGAAAGTCACCAATGAAGAAGTACTGCGAAGAATAAACACAAGCGCGAATTTGGTCAACATCGTGAAGCTGCAGTACTTGGGACATATAATAAGAAATCAAGGCAGATACGAGCTACTTCAATGCATTGTGCAAGGTAAAATTGAAGGAAAAAGGGCCCCAGAACGAAGCAGAATATCCTGGCTTGCTAACCTGAGAGCACGGTATGGAAAGAACTCAATAACATCTATTTCGTATAACAACCAACAGTTATCATAGCCAGAATGATCGCCAATGTTCGGAACGGACAGGTACTTTCAGAAGAAGAAGCGGCACTGAAGGTACTGGCGTGTCAGGAAGGGACGTCTGGACTGAAAACTAAAAACAAGGTTGAGCTTGTCTGGGTACCAGGACATCAACGCATCGAAAGTAATGAAAAAGCAGATCAGCTTGCAAAAAGAGGATCGAACGAATCAAACGAGGCCGTTACCGACTGTAACTTTGGGAAAACCAAAGGCTGCAGTTCGTAGGACTGTAGAGAACTTGATCATAGAGACTTATGAGCGATATTAGAAGAGAATCTCAAAACAAACATATTGCAAAACCTACATTGGTGTACAATGCAAAAAAAGAAGAAAGAAACAACTTTATATGAACAGGAACAAACTGGGAACAGTAACAAGAACCGTGCATGTACCAGTAAAAGAATTCCTTACTGGTGCAGTTTACAATAGACAACTACAGACTCTGCATTAAGGAAGTAGAAACTGTAAAATATGTATTATGCAATTGCTACGCGCTGGACGTAAAAGACAAAAACTGTATGGGCAACCATGAGATGACCCTGGTATATTTAGGACACACGAAGCAAAAAACTTGGACAAACTGTTACAGGACACAAAAATTATAGACTCGGTGTAGGAAACAACAATAGGCTAGAAACTCAATACGCTTTAGCTTCAGTTATTACGGAGATCTTGACGTTCAGACGGGACCGAAAAAAAATCGTAAATATAGGTGGAGATTTAAAAAAAATGTATCATGCAAAAGAAATTTTAGTTTTCGAGTTCATGTTTAATCAAAAGGCATTAAAAAATTATGTTTTTACTTTTAAAAGGTTAATATTTTAAGATATAATAAACATATTTTTATATTTAAATAATTTTTGATTTTACAACTTAAATTTTAAATACTTTTTTTAATCATTTAATTAATTTTTAGAAAAAAAAATAATCTTTTTTTAATCATAAAAAGAATATAAAGAAATTCAGGGGTTAAAGATTTTTTAAATCTATTTCAAATATTTTTGTATTTTAAAAACTACTTATTTTTGTATTTAATTTTTCTTAAAAAACTGGCCATATAACTAATGGTCACAAAACCAAAAAAAAATTAAAAGGACTCTAAAACCGTGAAGTTCTCAGTACTGCAGTAGAAAAAAATTGAATCAGTTGTTAATTACAGCTGCAAATACTTTGGTAAAATTTATAAATTATTTGAATATTTGAAGTTTAAATCTTTTAGTAATTTTTACTTGGACTCAAAATACAAAAAAACAACGTAATCAACAAATAATAACGATACAAAATCTTAAACTTTTTGAATACTTAAAAATAGCTTGTTTTTTATTATTATGTTTATTTTTTAGAACCTTGGAAATTGTTTATAGTTAAAATAATTTTTGTATATCGAAAAATACCACAAAAAACTTTAAATAAATTTTAAACCACGAATCACTATACACAATCACGAAATTCACGTATACGTCAATGGAATTACTTACGATGAAACTCATGTTGCGATATTTAGTGCTTAAGTCGATCACTTCTAAGAAATTGCAAGAAACTGATGAAGATACGAAGGGGATCGTGAATTTATATAAAAAGTTAAGTGGGGCTCCCCGAGTGAAAGGTTTTCTTCACAAAAATTATGTGTGACTTTGTATGAAAAGTGAATCGGACCACACGGTAATACGATAGAAGGTTTGTCAACGAGTTAGGAATATTCCGTTAGTTCTATCTTCTTTCCCTTTACCAGGTCAATGTACTTGATAGCGATTTAATTGTTGCAATAGGATACACTAGAATTAATATTTCAAAAATAAAATTTATGTACAGTTTCTATTTACATTTTGTGACGTGTTTTTGTTGTTTTGTATTGCTTGAGTTTTTTAAATATCGTCTAAAGTAAAAGCCGTGAGTGAAGACCGATAACTAATTAAATGGTGATCAGTGAGCCTCAAACAGTGGCTTTAAAATTTCATAATTCCAGTCACTTGAAAAATAAGTGATTTAATTTTCTATATTTAATGTTTAGTAAGAATGTTGTATTTTATTCTACTAAAGACAAATTAACTGAATATAATATTTATATTTCCCAGTGGAGAAAACAAGTATCCGGAATGGGAATAGACATAGGCGGTGGTAAATGTCTAACAACTTTATTTTTCGCAGATGATCAGGTAGTCGTAGCGAATGATGAGAAAAATATGGACTACATATTTAGAAAACTAAAGAAATAATATAAAAAATGGGGCCTTAATATCAATATATGAAAAACCGAGTATCTTACAAAAGGAAATAATGAACAAGATCCAGAGTTAGAAATTAGAAACACAAAAACATGCCAGGAATATAAATATCTCGAATTTAAAATATCTAAAGAATGCTACCAAAAGAGATATCGAAAACAAAACGCAGCAGGGAAAAAAGTGTTAAACATTCTAAAATCTCTGCTATGGTCTAAAGATATTATGCAATAATCTATCAAACCTTGGTAGAGCCTATTATGACTTATTGGGCAGAAGTTTGGCAGATCGCGAAAAAAGATAGAAAAAGAATGGAATTAGTAGAAATGGATTTTCTAAGGAGAGCGTATGTAGATAGTAAAAGAAAGCATTAAATTACATAGCACAACAAAGAAGAAGCTGAAGGCCTTCAGTTGTCTAGGAAGAAAATGTACGGTCTATAATGGGAGATAGAACCATAAAAGAAGATGAATGGATGGACAGAAAACGATGGCGGTCAAAATGCGAGAAGCGGCAGAGGCTGTAGGAACCCCGCAATAAATTTTATGATATTTGTATGTATATATAATTTATTACACACAATAAAATCTATTTTATTAATGACATTTTAAATATAGTAATTATTCTATGTACCAAGCTAATGGTCCATTGAAAAAGTTATATTTTTGAGAAAACAATTTTATTTTTGGATGTGTAGCGGTGGTTAGTATAAACTTAAGTTCAAGTTTGTGGGGTCGCCACCCTTGTCAACCGCCGCCAGTTGGAAAAAGAGGGCAAAGGGTTTTCACGCTGTATCTCCTACATTAGCAACCTTACAGAAAATTTTATAAAACATAATTTGTAGGAAATTAAATTTTCTACAACTTTATTTGTATTACCTTATTCGTAAAATTGAATATAAAAATGTATTAAAAAAAATAAAATCAAAACTTTTTTGGTCATTTTATAATAAAATGGCTTTTTATAGAGTAATTTTTACTACAAATTTGGTAAATTTCAATAATTTCTCTGGATTTTTCAGTGCTTTGAAGTTGAACGGGTTCTTGAAGACACGCTATTTGGGAATAAGGGGTTCAAAAGGTTTTCGCGCTGTATCTCGTAAACTAACAATCCTACAGAAAGTTATTTATGACAAATTAAATTGCCTACAAATTTATTTTTACTATTTTTTATCGTGAAATGGAAAATAAAAAAGTTATTAACAAAAATTACTAAAAATTTTTGAACAAATTTTCTTTTGGACCTTATAACTTTTTCGTGGCATATTACGATAAAGAGACAATACAGCAATATTATGGAAGGTGTTCAAAGAATAATTTACTCTTTCTAAGTTGACCGGATTTTGAATACTCGTATTCAATAGTAAGAATACGATAAAAACAAACCATTAGGATTAGTTTTTTTATTAGTTATGTTTTTACTTATAAAATTTTTTATTTTGTTAACATTTCTATGGTATAATTTTATCTACCTTTTTCCTGGCCACCTATGAGGTAACGTTATGTGGATGAAACCTTATTTTTTTAATAATAGTATGTTCTTGTAATGGCATAACTTTGAAAATTTGGTAAAACATGTTTGTTAATCAATTCACTGTATTAGTATCTACGATAATATTATATTCTGTACCATTTCTAAAACTTGTTTAGCAGCGCTGATTGACATAGTAGAGTAGTAAACTTTTGCACACAAAGACGTTGCAAAAGATATCTTCGCTTATTTGGTCTACCAGTAATAAAGTTATCAGGATTGAATGAGAAATCGGTCTTTATACATGGCCTTCATATTGGGCTTCCAAAGCACGGTTATCAAAATACATCTTCTAGTAAAAAATCTAATTTTATAGTATTTTATTTTATTCTGATTTGCCCAGAATATACCGTCAGCTTAGGACGGTATATTCTGAGGCATTTCGGTATTTTTGAGGTATCTGAACGAATTCGTCATCTAATTATATGATCATTCTGGCTTTACAACCAGATGTATTGTACAATTCTTGGGCAACCCCATAGGCAACCCTTATTGCCCATGTTTTCATCGATGGTATTAACGAACCTTGTTCTGCGTCTTCCTCTTGGATGACTGGACCTGGACTCTAATAAAAGTAAAAAAACATGTTTTCTTTACTTTTTGTAAAACCTGAGAGTCACCTGTGAAACCAGAGACCTGAAAGTCCAGGTCTCTGACTGGACTGGACGTCTTACTGTTTTGTACAGTTTTATTTTTGTATTTCTTAATTTAATTTTTGGATTTAAGGAAGAGATAGAGCCCACGATAGCATCTGTTTGCCGTGAAAATTCTGCGTTTTAAGTTTGCGGTAGTATTATATTCATTGTTAAGAAATGTTCCCAAATATATAAATTCGTTCACTGCTTCAGTGACGTCGTTTTTCTATAACAAGTGGTCGTAGAATTTGTGGTTGCCTGCTTATTTTCATATACTTCTTTTTATTGGTGTTTATTATTAAAACCATTTTGCATCTAATTCTTTTCATGCTACACACGCCTTTCGTAGAGCGTTATCCGTTCTCCCAACAATATTGTTATCATCAACCTAGTCCAGGATTTGCGCTGATTTATTATATATTGAACCAATGGTTGTAATTTGTGACATACGTATTACTATTTCCAGAGTCAGATTAAACAGTATACAGGAGAGAGGGTCACCCTGGCGCAGCCTGTTATTTGTTTTAAAAGGTTGAGACAGTTCCTCCTGAATTCGTACTTCACATTAAACTTTTTCAAGAGTTAGTTTTCTTGAATTTACCAACTGATTTGGTATTCCTAGCTCTTTCATTGCTTTGAACATTTCTCTTCTATTCACAGAGTTGTAGGCTGCTTTCTATCTATCTATCTATCTAATTAGCCTTCTTCGGTCCATCTTTGGACATAGGCCTCCCCAATCCTTTTCCATTCTTCTCTGTCTGTCGCAACAGTCATCCATCTAGAGCCCACGTGCTTCTTGATATCATCTGCCCATCTCATTTGGGGCCTTCCTATGCTTCGTTTATATTCCCACGGTCTCCAACTTATAAGAATTTTGTTCCATCGGTCTTCTTTTTGTCTTATATTGTGTCCGGCAAATCTCCATTTCAATTTTGCAACTTCTTGTCTAACATCCCTCACTTTTGTTTTCTCTCTTATCCACTCGTTTCTCTTCTTATCCATTAGTCTTATGTGCAACATTTGTCTTTCCATTGCTCTTTGGGTTTTTATGATTTTGTCCATGTTTGCTTTTGTAAATGTCCACGTTTGGGAGCCATACGTAAGAACAGGGAGTACGCATTGATTATATACTTTGGTCTTAAGATGCTGTGGATATCTTTTGTTTTTAAGAATGTAGCTTAGTTTGCCAAATGAAGCCCATGCCAGTCTAACTCGTCTCTTGATCTCTGCTGTTTGGTTCTCTTTGTTAAGTTTTATAGTTTGACCAAGATATATATAATCCTTAACTTGTTCTATTTCATCTTGTCCGATTCTCATTGTGATGTCTTCATCTGTATTTGTTATAGTTTTGGTCTTGCTGTAATTCATATTAAGGCCTATCTTTCCAGCTTCTACGTCCAGTTCTTTCATCATTTCAAATAATTCATCTTTTTTATCGGTTATCAATACGATGTCATCAGCGTACCTTAGATGGTTCAAGCGTTGTCCACAAATTTTTATACCTTTTTTTCCCATTCTAATCTTCTAAAAGTATCTTCAAGAGCCTGATTGAAAAGTTTCGGTGATATTGTATCACCCTGTCTCACGCCTCTACTTATTTGTAATGATTTTGTTCCTTCATATACTTTAATTTTTGTTTTGGCTTCCTTATATATATATTGGTTATTAGTTTCGTATATCTGTGGTCAATTCGGCTGTTAATCAAAGAACTTTTCACTGCCCAATGTTCGACACTGTCGAAAGCCTTTTCGAAATCTATGAACGCCATATATAGAGGAATGTGGTATTTATTTGCTCGTTCTATAAGTATTTTCATACTTAGTAAATGGTCACTTGTGCTTTCTAGTCTATAAATATGTGATGAGTATCAATGCCATACTCCAGTGTTTTTTCCAAAATTTGTTTCAGGGTTGCAATATGATCCATGGTCGATTTACCACCTCTTAAACAAGCCTGGTATTTTCCAACTATGAATTCTGCATATGGTGCCATAAGGTGACATAGTACTGTGGAAAATATTTTACACTGCATTAGAAGCGTAATTTTTCTGTGGTTGGAGCATTCAAAGATATCGCTTTTTTTGTATATGGTACAAAGTATTCC